TTTTTAGTTTTATAAATTAATTCCCCCATCTTTTATTGCTTTTGTAGCTTTAGTTCAATTAATACGAAAATTGTCACAATTTAATTTCTGCTCCTCGTGGGATCGACCCTTTAGTAGAGGTCTTAATTAATCAACGATAAGATATAGATCATTCAATTCATAGACAAATCGAAATTAGGGTTTAAATTGCACATAAAAGTACAAAAATTGAACATTATAACCTTAAATTTTTGACTAATCGTAAAAACCCAAAAAATTTATATGCTAAAATTTATATTAAAGTACAAAAAATTTTTTGTACTTTCTCTTATATCAAGGGATAAATTTATATGCTAAAATTAAATTTTTATTAGTATAAATATTTTAGTGAGATAATATATTAATTATTTTACAAGCTAGCCCTAACATGCTCATATTTAATGTTTTAAAAGATGTAGAAAAAAAAACTTATAATAACTCTATTGTTTTTAGACTTAAACGTTGATTAAAAGAGGTAAAAATTCCTAATTTTTTAGACTTAAACGTTGATTAACACCATAGATTGAACGTTTATATTTAGTAAAATTCCTAATTGTAATAAAAAAATTAATTTTTGCTATATTTTAGAATATCTTTAAATTCATTATAAAAAAAAAGAAAAAAAACTACAATGAAAAAAGCAAGTCAGCTATATATCGATTTGTTGTACTCCTCAAATCACATTCACAATTTGGCTACAAGGAAAGGAACTCATTGATTAAAATATTATTTTGTCAGTAGTCTTAATGTACAAGAGACTTTAAGACTCCACTTGAATATTATAAAACTTTTATTGAACATTGTACAATTTTCTTGCGTATTATAAACTTTTATTGAATATTGCATGTTATAATATAATATTTTTCAAATAAATATATCTCGTGCTTTGCACGGGTCACGTACTATATATATCCATACATTTTTCCTTATTCATGTATATAGTTATAAGCCTGGATAAATAGCCTTAAAATTGTGCACCCCGTGCATCGCACGGGCTCTGTACTAGTTCATTGTAATAGGGGCACAATCTGAAATTCTCTTTGTAGTAACTCCCAAGTTGTATTTAAGATCCGAGTTGCATGTTTACTATATAAAATCAAGGTCACCCGATCTCATTCAATATTAACAATATTTTTACTTAAGGAAATTTTCCTAAACTGTTGGTGCATATTTCGCATACCAACAACTTAATCAAAGCAAACGAGCAAGAAAAACCGGCAAAAATTCAATTTTAGTCCGCTAACTTGTCTAATTTTCACTTTTGGTACACTATCTTTCCCCTCATAAAAAATGGTCCATTATGTTACACTTTTCATCATTTTTAATACACTAATTCCGTGGCTCGGGATTACGAGATGCCAAATCAGGTTTTTATCCTACCACGTCAAAATCTTATCCCTCCACGTAGTTCCAATCCCGGTCCACGTCATCTTATAATCCCGCCAACTGGAGTAGCACTGATGAAACATAATGAACCATTTTTTATGAGGGGAAAAATAGTGCACAAAAAATAGACAACAGACAAATTAGCGGATCAAAATTGAATTTTTTCCAAGAAAAACCAACTTAATTAGAGAAATTAACAGGCCACCATCGAGAAAACCAACTTAATCAAACCAAGAAAAACCAAGTTTTTAACATGTTTTGTTTACACGAGTGTACTGGCTCTACTCACCAACAACCTCAACCTGGCTATACTCCCCAACCACCAACTCAACCAACTTTTTGTGCACGAAATCATCGTACACATCCTGCAACACTAGCATGAATGCATTGGCACTCAACATTATATACCACCAGAATTTCTTCGCATCCACCCAATACAGTACCATTACACTCACACCTGATATGATATGATTCTGATACCGATTAACCATGTACCCTGAAATAGCACTCATCATCAATGAAATTCCATAAAAATAAAAGCAGACAATGGCTGCAGCCACCAAATCCATATGTCCTACAGCTGCAGGCACCATGGCTAGGAGTAGCGCATCAGTCAGCAGCCGTGTAAGATAACCCCGCCAGCCGCTCCAGTCTGTAAGTCGTGCAGCCACCATCACCAAGAAACCCGTGACCAGGGCTAGACAGGGAAGCAAGGTGATGTATGAAAAGTCACCCATCTGACTTTTTGTTGACACCTTGATTATAACTGAGACGATGATGAAAACACATGCTAAAAATCCTAACGTCCACCTCAGCCATACAGGGATCCTGAAATATAGTAATTATTAGGGATTAAAATAATGAAAAACTCAAAAACAGAATATATTAAAACTAATCTATAGTGACTTTCAATAGCATAAAATAAATTAAATTATTAAAGCAGCAAAATAACCTCACCGTGACCCATACAAGGATCCTGAAAATATATTAATCACTAATTAGCGATTAAAATGAGGGAGGGCTAGAATAAAAAACTAAAAAACAAAATATCCTAAAACTATCTATCCATAGCATAAATTAAGTTTATAATCATTAGAGTAACAAAATAAAATGTATTTTAGGAGAGATGTTTTTATTAATATTTTGCAAACTTCGCATTGTAACACATATAAACTAGTACGATATCCATGTACTATACAAGTACTTAAGTATTTTAATATTTGTACAATAAAAAAATTAAAACAATTTATATTCTTACTGTGACATTATGTATAATGAATATGCGACAATATATAGATATAAATTTACATAGAAATGTATTATTTTCTAATTTTGCAAAATATAAATTTATTTTATTATATTTAATTATAATATTCCTTTATATTTATTATTTTAACAACATAATAACATTCGGTTTTTTATATGATCTATCTAAATCGTAAAATTATATTTTATAACATTTCTTAAAATTTATTTTATATAATACTTAATTTTAATACTTTATCCAAAATATATAAAAAAAAGTACATTAACAAGATTATTTTATGGTGTATTAAAAAAAGTTTATTATTTTTATAAATAATTTTAATTGTTATTTGATATTTTAAATGAATTTGATAATAAAATTAGTTTTACTTATAAATGTAGATGATTTTTTTTTTATACATGCAATATGGATGTCAAATGAATATTGTTAAAATATGACTATTTTAATATATCATATATAGAAAATAAAATATAAATAAAAAAGTAATAAAGTTTTTTTAAGAGAATGATACATATCTATAATAACTAATATATGAATTAAATAAGAAGGATAAGAGTAGTATATGGTAACTTAAAAAAAAAAAAAACTAAAATAGTTTGTGCTAATTCTCAAGCTTAATAGTCAAAATCAAAACAGAATTTATGTCAATACGAAGCAAAATTTTATGCGAAATAAACTTACGAAGCATACAAATTTGTCAATTAAGTTCAGTTTATTCGGTAATTATATATAAAGTCGATAACACGTAACCCTAAACCTAACTCCCTTTAGCGTTCATTTTTCATTTTTATGCCAACATTCTTCTTCTCTCATTTTCTGTTTAATGTTTTTTCCTTTTCAAATTATTCTTTACAAACATTCAAAGATTAAGGAAATGCTACGGTCACGTTACGGAACCATTTCGTTGGTGTTTGTAATCGTTAAATTATCATGTAACCGTCGGGAATAGTTGATATAATGGTTATAAACCCCGACAGAGTGGTTCCGTAACGTGACCGTAGCATCTCCCCAAATATTAACAATGTCAATCGCTCGATATACATCTTTTCTGCTGATTTCTTCGTTTCTTTTGAATAATGAAATAATTATACTCATTTTGCTATTTTCTATTTTGACAAACATTACAAATAACTAGATAAATAGCATAACTATTGCAAATATATTAATTCCTAACCAACATAATAAAAAATTAAAAACATAAATAATCCAATGCTAAGATAGAGGAGTAATTTTTGTAATGATATTTTCAACTTTTTATTAATTAATGTAAGATATCATATAGTCATAATATTTTTAAAAATTTAAATTATATTATTTTTCAATGAAAGGTAATGAAATGAACTACGACCTCCTGTTTGATTCAGCCTCTCTGATGGCTTCATTGTCGCTGATTAACTTAAGATTCCTCTGCAGCTCATCATTCAACGTATCAGCCTCCTCCTCCTAATCATTATAGCAATTGAATAGTAAGTGCATATTTGATATAATAAATTATTATTAAAAAAAT